TGAGCTCTGAGCAGGACAGCTCAGTAACTCTTGGGAAATCCCCAGTAAGTCTTTGGAAAAAGAGCTTGCCTCCTTGTGGGGAGGAAGTTTCCCCAAGGTTCTCCTTCCACAAAGATGAAATATCTTAAAGAGGTAGGATCTTGCCTCTAATGCAATTGTTTGGTTGTTTCACCTACTTTTGCGAGCAGTAGTATCTCAGAGAGAGCTGGGAAATATTTCTTTGCACAGAATCAAGATGCTGAACCAGCTGCTTTCTGCAGAGAACTGCAGGAGGCTCAAACTGCTTCAGAGCAGGTGGCTGAGTTAGGGCACAGGAGACCCTGCCTCTCAAAGAGGGAGGGAAGCAGTGAATCCCGACTGCCAGTCCTCACTGATTTTGAGCACGTCAGGAGCCCAGAGCCTGTGTTCCTCTCAGAGATGTGATATATTTAATCCACTGTTTGGCAGCATCTTGTTTCAGAGAGGGACAGGGGCTTGCTACTTCCTGTTGAAGTCCAAGCCATTTCCTCAGTTTGATGTTGTGGTGGTTATCACTATAACCAATGGTGGTGGGTTGACCCTGGCTGGCAACTAAGCTCCTACCCAGTCTCCTGCTCACTTTCCCACAGTGGGATGGGGGTGAGATGCAGAAAGGCAAAAGTGAGGAAAAAACCTCATGGGTAGAGGTAAGGACAGTTTAATGAGTGAAGAGAAAAACAAAACGAAACAAAACAAAAACCCAAAAAACAAGTGATGCAAAGGCAATCACTCACCCAGTGCAGCAATTTAGTATCAGATGCAGTGGCTGCAGGAAATGATTGTGCTGCACCTTACCTCCTAATTGTTGGCAAAGAGAATTCCCTTCTCCAGAAGCTCCCCACTGTCACTGTATCTTCTTACGCAGGGACTGTGCTCAGGCTTGCACAGGCCATGTGAATTTTACTCTAGAAGTTGATTGTCTTAAGAAATTGTAGCCACAGCTCCCTCAGTTGTTTGTTGAACAAGGAGACACTGTGGTTATAAGAAGATCACAACTATCAGCCCTGTTTTACGATTTTTATGAGCGTTAATGGAACAAGGTTTGGGGACTGAAGGAGAAAATGGAATATGAAAAGGAAAATGAAAAGAGGCTGTGAGGAAAGCATGTCATTTCTAAATGAATGCTCTGTGCAGAGGAATTGAATCTTTTCACAGCTGAAAATGAATCTTAAATCTGATGCCTTAGCTTGTTTCAGCTTCTGTAATGAAATAGAGTTTTCCTAATACCCTGTGACCTGAATTTCTCCCTGCTTTTATGGGTGCTATTCCTTGACGTACAAACCTGTATTTTCTCAAGTCAGCATTTGATGATGGATGTCAAAATATAGGTCATGTATTATGCATATAGCATTACCGATTTAAGGTGTTTACTTGTCAAGTTGAAGAAATTCAGAAATGTCACATTCACTGAATCTGCACAGCTGTCACTTGTAGTTTTTCATGCCTTTAAATGAAAGTTCTGATAAAGCAGGTTAGTTTTCCTGCACTTTTTTTTTTTCTCTCTTCTGGAGGAAAAAAATAGAGAGCCTGTCTATAGAATTTACTTTGTGACTTCAAACATTGGCACACAAAATCCCCAAGTACTCCAATTTTCCTTTCCTGAAAATATTCCAAGATTTTTGTATTTTTAAGAAGTGGATTTTTAGAAGTGTCTGAATTAAGCAGAGAGAAGGAAATTAAGTTAAGGTAGCAGATATTTCTCACATCTTCCAAGACCATAGGACAAATAGTATTAAGGTGCGAGTCTTTTTCATTCAAGGAGAAAACAAAATCCCTTTAACATGCTTTCTGCATTTCAGACTGAATGCACTATGTGTGCAGTGTGCAATTACAGAGCTTCTGACAGTCTGTGTCTAACAGAAATGACACATTTACTTCAATCTTCTGACACCATCCTAGGAAGACAAACATTTGAAGGGTTAGAGAGGTGGCTACAAATAGCCTTCGATGGAGAGTGTGCGTGCGCGTGCCTGTGTGTGTGTGTGCATTGCAGTAGAGGGAGGGCAAGAAGGACTTACACATTTAGATGCAGTTATGCCAGCTTCAATTTGCTTTTAGCTGGTAGGGAAATACTGATGTGCTCTTACCATCTGAGCAGCCTGATTCACTGAAAGATGTTTTAGGGAGTGCATCCTGAGATGAGGAGAGAAAAGCCTTCAGGAAAAAGGGAGAACCAGGGCCTAAGGGATGCTCCCAGCAGTACAACCCCTAGGGTGCATGGGAACAAGCTTAGTTTTCTCTGCTCTCAGATAAGCAAGTGTAAAAAGTCCTGCTGTTGCCATTTTGACTTGTAATTCTGCAGAAGACCCAACTGGGCCTGCCACTTTTAACTGCTCAAGGAGTCTACAGCTACTTGAGCTTTTTTAAATGTAGTGTGACAAAAGCCGTGTCTTGCCTTCCCTGTAGCGTAACAGAATGCAAAACTTAAACACTGGAGCATGCTGCAGAAGGAGGTGTCACACTAATACCCACCTGTCCTCAGATAGCATTCCCTCCCTTTGGAGTCCCACTTTAATTTTCCTGCTGTTGTGAGAGTGTCAGGGTTACCTCTAACTCATGAGATGATGCCTGAAGGAACTCCATTAGGCTCACTTTATGAGTCTGAGAAATCCTAGGCTCTGCCATGCAGAAGTAAGCATTCAAAGAGTCAATACGGCTATCAATCACAGTGCCAGACACAAGGAAACATCTGCAAACCGATACCAGTTGGGAATGCAACTCACTGTCACCATGCCGGTCTTATTGAATTAGTTTCAGCACAACGAGTAGTATTAAATGATCGACTGTTAACATTGCCAACATTTCCGATTGTCTCTAAGAAATCTGCTTTCTAAAGATTTTCTATGCGCTGGTAATATTAACTAGAATTACTTTGCTGTCTTAGGTTTGCCTATGGCTATGTTTTTGTCTTGCAAGCCTGTTGAAGATACCACACCCACTTCTTTTCTGCTAAGGAATTTCTTCACAGACTTTTCACTCCCTTTTTACTTATCCTGTCCTTACAGTCCTCATGTTGTAGCTAACTTTCATGTGATAGTCAGAAGGAAATTCATACTGGTACCTTCTGGAGGGCTAAGTCTCTCTTCTCAGTGATTCTAGTTTTATTACCTATATATTCTATATGTGATATAGACAAAACATAGGGAGAAATGAACTGAATATCAAATAAAAATTTAAATCCCATTAAATCAAGAAGTCCAGATCTAGTGGTCCTTATAGTTTGTCTTGTTTAGGGACAGTTTAAGAGTGATGGTAATTATTACTGGAAAAGAACCATAAATCCCTCAGAAAGACAATCCAAAACCAGTACCACATGTTAACAATTACAGTTTAGTTTGGAGATTTCCTGGTTTGTAAATTAGTCCCTAAACTGAAGAAAGGTAAAGTAGGTAAAATAATATCTTTTTCTTCTGAATTCAATAGCAGATGAATGTATCAATGAATTCAACGCAGTGAAACAGTTTCCACACTGCAAGAAGATAATGAAGTTACATCAGGAATTAATTTGGCTGTGATTAATTTAGAATCGGTATATGGAGAATTCAAAACTAGTTCAGACCAGTAGTGAGAAAGGATCAAAAGACTGTCCCTGGATGTCAGGTGTGAAGTCAAAGAACTCGGGCATAATGTGGCAAAAAAAAGAATATTTTCTCAGAAATGTGTGTTTTAAAGTGAGCTTGGCTCAGTCCTCTTCCTAGCAGACAAATATTTGCTTAAAAATGCTGCCTTGACATTGTTCTACATGAAACCCTAAAGTCAAACTCTGGCTTCACCATCACTTCTGCAATAATGACATTAAATGAACATTCCCATGCTTTCTGCAGCTTTAATGGACAAGGGAGATGGAACGCATTAGTCTCAACTGTGAATTTCCAGTCCAACTGTTGCATGGGCTTTTGTATAACTGCCTATTTTTCAGTACTTACAATAAAATTCCAAAAGGCTTTGCCTGGGTATTTTTTATTTAAAAAAAAAAAAAAAGATTAAAAAATGCTTAGTGTCAAGAGCTCCATTTCAAACTGTGTTTAGAATCAAGCTGAAAACACAATCTTTTTTAGAGGTGGACCTTGCTGCTCTCCAGATCTTTTTTTTCTTTGAGTGCCTGCCAATATGTTTCCTCTCCCACCTTTGTTTCCTTTACATCCCCAAAGGTATAAAACTCTTTCTAGTTTCTTTTCAAGCATTCCTCTTACATACTGTTTGAAAACCTGTGTTTTTTTCCTTCCATCCTATCTTTTTTTTTTTCTGTTAGAAAGAGCCCTTCCATCCCAGTATTCCTATAATTGTAATACTCATAAAAATACGTATTATGAAAGGTATGCTTGAAAAGAAAAAAAAATACTTTGTGTGGGTTGTATTGCTCCTGGAAAACAGTTAGAAAATTTTAAATGCTGCGTGTTGATCAAACCTAAAACCTGCTAATGGAAGCAATTTGTTCCTCCTGCTTGTACTACTGTTTACAAACAATGCTCTTTAAAATGTTAATTGAGGTTTAAGGAAAGGTGCTTGTTTCAGGATTATTTGAAATACTAATAGGACAAAATTAAACCTCTCTAACACTGAAGTCTTAATTTTTTTATTTATATTTAAGTAAGCATTTCTCTTTCCATTTTGCATGTTTTGATGTAAAGGCTACCTAGGACAACAAAATAAATTTCAGTTTCTCCAGTAGCTACAGTAGAAATGACCTGCATATTTGTGAAGGATTATGCTTTTAAGAAAAAATTGTTGAAGATTAAATAGGGTTTTTTTTAAATGTCCACTTTTTTTACCATACTTTTCTGGGGGTCTGTCTGTCTGTCTGTCTGTCTG